TCATCATCAAGTGATACTTGGCTCATATCTTCTACTACACAATGTTCACAATGATGATCACTGTAATCCCAAAGTAATTTGCATAGTTCTTTCTCCATTTTTTCTGATCCACAAACTTGGTTGGAGATTATTTTGGATAATAAATGGTCAAGATAACATATATCTTCCTCTTTGGTCTCTTTTCTGGCATTAGAGTAGATTATATGTTCTTCAGATGGGTAAACCCATATCTTTTCCTTCTCAGTAATTATCTGAGTTAGATGTTCAAATATTTCTTTGTATCCTTTGGCTCTTCTATATGGCATCATGTTAATAATATCTTGATAACCATTTTTAACAACCTTTTGATTGGTTGGTAAAAAATGTTGGTTTGTGAGCCCTAACTTGATAACATGAAATGCTGGCTGCATATATTGAAGATCTGGATCCCATTCCATTGTTGCCGAGTAAAATCTGATGTATATATTTGTAGTTTTGACAACTTCAGTATATCTTTTTACTGCCTTCTTGACGTCAGCTGGAAGTTGAGTTATCTCCTTGAGATCTTTGCTAGGATATATACAGAGTATATTTCCTAGTTCAAAACAATTTTTCACCCAGTTGGCTGGTGCTTCTGGATAAAAGTTTATCTTGTTGTATCTTCCATAGTGGAGAGTCTTCATCCACTTTCCAACTTCTAAATACCAATCAGATAAAATATTGAAAACAACAATAAAGAAAATAATTTCTTCATAGTTATCCTTTTTGGATATTTTTGTCATGTGACATATCTTGGCAATTTCTTTTGGATCAATCTTTTCAATATTTAGCTCAGGTAAAGTATGGCTCTTTGAGGAGCTACCTTTGCTGCTTTTGATATCTTGAATATCTTTTCTACCAGTAATAGGTTCAAGTTTTCCCTGTAAAGGGGTTCCTATTACCTTCTTTTCTTTCCCTTTATCCTCGAGTAGAGCGCTAGTATTCACAAGTCCCTGTGAAGGGATACTAGACTTGGTACAAGTATCTTCTGCCACAAGGGCTATTTTTATTTGGTCTCGAAGACTATCTTGTATATTTTGGATCTGGGTTTCCAAATAGGAAACTTTTATCTCAAGTATCTGGACTTTCGTCCTCAACTGTTCTAGCTCCATCCCTGCTAAGATAATCAGGAAGAAAGTTAGCATTTCCTTTTATATGCTCAATATCAAATTTGAAGTAGGAAAACCAAATTTGAATTCTGATAATATATCTGTTAGCAATAGATGGATCAACATTATTTTTTAAAAATGCTTTAACTTGAGTATTATCAGTTCTAATTAAGAACTTTTTTGGTAATAGATAATCTTCATATTTCTGTACTCCTCGCTTCACAGCAATGAGTTCTTTTCTGTTCATCTCATACCTTGTTTCAACTTCTTTGAATGTTCCTGATGTATACCCTGCAAGTGTTTCGGGACAAGAACAATTCTTTTCACATTTATATTCTTTATGATTCTTTTTTAGCATCAATACTGCTCCCCAGTAATTGTCTGATGCAGCTGTTTCAAGGATAAAAAAATCATCTTCTTGAGGAATTAAAGGATACCAGTTTTACCACAGTGCGCAGAGTCAGCGGAATTAATTTTGCACTCATAAATTTTTAGGGTCTAATTTGAAGTTTTTATATACTTGTAGATGTTATGGATGCAATTTATATATATAAGGGGTATTTTAGGAATTTTGCTTATCTGTTTTTCTCTCTGTATGTGAATAGTTCTGGATGAGTAGTTTTATCCTTTGATATATGGAGCCATAGACCAATTAGAACAACAGCATACACCTTCAAACCAAGTATGAAACGAAGTAATACTCAGTTGAGTCAAAATTGGATAAGAACGACTGACTTAATACGAGGAAAGCGTTAGCTTTGGACTTAGCCTTCCGTCTAACACTCGGGTTATTAGAAGAGAAGAGTCGTGACTTACCACGTTGACTTGTCTATCCTTTGTGCTAACCATAGCTTAATACCTCAAATTAATAATTTCATCGTACATTGGATTTAATTAATGCTATTTATGTTAATTTGCTCTAGAACCACACAAGTCATTTTGGGCTTGGATATCTTTTAGCCCGAAACTCGACAAATGAATTGTGTTTAATGGAGCCCAATCAGTAGAAAATAACAGCGGACGGGATGGGCAACCCAATAACAAAAAATCAGTGAATAATTCTGCAAATAAAGGACCAATTTGAAAGCTGAAAAGGGCAAATAATCGACCTCATACGGATCGAGCACTCAGAGCAGACGCGTTTCCCTCTGCACGGAATATCTCAGAATATGTTTGGTCGAAGAAAATTCCTATCTTTCCCCCTAGTTATTGGCGCTGTAGTGTAAGTTTTGACTGTCTTTATTATCGAATCCAATATGTATATATTCTACGAGATTTCCATTTCAGAGTATTGATTGGATTGATCAGCAAGCGTAGGAAGTGATTTAATAGTTCGTGTTCACTTTTGTAACCTTCAATTTGTTGTGTCCATATTCTATATTGATTTTAATTGGAAAAATTATGAATTTAAATGCTTGGTAAGTTTGAGTAAGAAATGTGTTCAGTTGATCGAATTGGTTCAAATTAAAACATAATTAATTGTACTCTGAAGGAGAATGTGGGTACTTAAATTATAACAACAGAGATGTCCATTGATTACCAGAGGAACGGTACTTTTGTTTGATGAAATTCCCCATCAGAGGTTGATATTTGAAATCACATACCTTGTTGATTTTAATTAGTGAATTTTATAATTTGCATGTATTACATAATTGAGCGGTGCTTACCAAGATATTTACTTCCAGACTGTGTTTACATTTTAACTTTCCAAGTCTTTGTGTTTCAAAATTTTGTATTCAGAAGCACTTTGGGTCTTTTGGTCCTCGTCGGTATCAGGTTTTTAGGGCTCATGAGCTTTTGCTTATAAAAACCTTAAAAATAAGCAATTGTGTCCTTACTATTTTTAAGGTGGTTATAAGCACCTAAGTGCTTGTCTTTTTGTTTGTAAACAAGGCCAAATGTTCTAATGTACCTATAGGTGCTAGAACATACAACTTAATGCTTGTAAGCCAATAGTTCTTATAACTTTAAGAATCCCCAGCAGCCTCAAGGTTTCCATAAACAATTAGAATCTTGTCAGCAAACTCTTACTATTATCTTTTACCATTGTCCATTTGTTTCTGTGTCTTTCACTCTAAACATTCTTTTCCATATAGAGCACTATATCTCACTTAAAACTTCCATGTGTGTGTGTGTGAGAAATGTGTGTATATGCCTGGAATCAATAAACTCTTATCCCTTCAGACTTCTTTACACACTTTTAACTTTATTATCACATGGATCCATGTGTTGAGGAAACAAGACAATACGATTCAGACCCAAAAAAAAAATTGAAAACTAGGAATAAATAAAGTAAAAAGATCACCTGGTTCTCGCATTGGAGCATTCTTGTTGCTCGTATTGATACGTTGAGACGTTTTTTCATATACTTTCTGGAAATGCGTCTAGGAAATGCATTAAATTTCAACACTTATGTGAACATCATTTTTGCTTCATGGTCCTGAACTCTGGATGGTAGCATGGTGCCATGGTAGAACAATCTCTCCATATACCTTCAAGCACCTTTTGCTCTGTTCTAGTACTAGGCAAGACCTATTATGTTGTCCTATCTGGAAACTGTTGCTTGTTAGCTTTTGTGGCTTGTTACCTCTTCTCTGATTTAAATCGGTAGCTTTTTTTTTGTGAGGGCTTGTAACAAATTACACTGGTTTCAGTCCTTGTATAGGTGCTTGGCAGTGATTTCCAAAATCTTTTTCTTAGTTTTTCTCCTCCATCGAGATTTATAGAAAATGGTGCCCAAAGCACGGCGCACGTGTGTTATATTTCTCTTCTTGCTTATCCATTCACTTATCTGGACTTAATTATCTGAATCTCCTGCCTTTTTTGGTGGAGGAAGGGAATGACATTGAAGCCTGTTTTACTTATACCAATATTGCTATTAAGATTGTGAAAATGCCATCACAGTGGAGCCTCCATGCTGATTGTAGAAGTAGCATGCGAGGCAATGGCATCCCCAGTGCTGGCACAGTAAATGATCAGAAGGCATCCATAACAGTAGCTGAATAATAGTCATAATCAATTGTGAAGCTTCTGAGGGGCGTTATTTGATTATCAATAAACTAATCTATTTTTTGTGTTTTACTAGTTTTTCATTGAGGGGATTGCTTATTGTTGCAGGATAGGAGTCGTATCTGGGAAAGCTATATTTGGGCCTCCTCTTGATGAGTACTGGAAAAAGAAGCTCCAAGAAGAAGCTGTTGCAAAAGAGACCGATGCTAGCTCCACTTAGATGATTTTCAACTTTGTCGGACCTATGAAAGCCAAACGGGAGTGCTCTCGCTAGCTGAGCTATACATGTTTCGTAAATTATATTCTGAATTGGCTTTACCGAATCTTTGTCCCAAAAAAGGACAACACAAGTTTTCGGATGTCAAAACATGATCGAGTAGAATTAGTCTTGTCCAATATAAGTGCTTCCTGATAACATTTGCAGATTATTCAGGTCAAATTGAATGCTTGTAGCTTCTTTTGTTTCATTTTGTTTACTTCTATAAACAATAATACTTTCATGCGTGGTGCATGTGGAAGAATCACTTTCCAATTTTGTAAACTCTATCATGAATCTACCAATCAAAGCTGCTACGCTAAGCTACTAAATAGAGAAAGAAGCAAAAAAAAAAAAAAATAACGAGAGGGAAGGATCCAATATCAAACGAGTTTTCTTGATAAGATTGAAGGGTATACATTTGTATGAAGATATACAAAATAAGTCACGCAGAGGACCAGAGTAATTGGCCTGATAAATTATGAACCTGTACAATTCTATCAGAGATATACCAAAGTTGTACTGCAGCAGATATTTTCCAGGATGCACTTGGAAAGAATCTGTCATTACAAGAGACAAACATTCACTAGAAAAGTGTACAGGACAAATCAGTATGGAGCCAAAATCCAAGGTCCATTCAATATGTGCAAACACAAAGTAAGACATACAGTAGCAACGGTAGAAGATTTGCCACTCACATATCTCATAGTATTAATTCCTCGATCAACGACCTCCTGGTGGACAACATCAACGCTTCTCTTCGTGCACTCTGACAGTTTCTCGAGTAAAATCTCGAGAAACGATCTAACTGTTTCGAATGTCACCTTCCCAGTCATATCAAGAACAAACTTCCTATTGCTTGGCACTGCCAAAGTAGAAGAAATCTTACTCCTCCATCCACCATCTTGATTCTGATCATCGATCAATTTTCTTGCCTTTATTGTGGTTGAGATTATTTTTGTCCCTTTCTCGACTTTATCATCTCCAGGAAAACTATCTCCAAAATCAACTTTCCAGTATGGGGGGCTCAAATTTGAATCAGTAAAGGAGCTTTTAGTCCACACTTGGTGAGAAGTTTGGATTAAAGTTTCTATAGCACCATTGCATACAGTTACCAGCGTGTCTTTTACTTCAGATTCATGCTTAGGATTAGTCAATCCAGAAAAGATTTCATCGTAAGTGTTTATATGCATAGTTTTCTCCAAGTAAACACTAACAGCAGTGCTCACAAATAATTGTATGCAATATCCAATTAGCTCTCGACACTTGTCCTCGTTAGCCACTTCAATCCACCTCGAAATAGACTGATAATCTGGCTCCATCGAAAGATTATCAAGATTTACAAAACCATCCAAATTCGATCCTGTCTTGTGTTGTCTATCCGAATAAAATGCCATTACCAAATTTCTTGCAAAACTCCCAACAACTACAGAAGCAAAACCAGACCCTGAATCCGAAAACAATTTATTCATAACCCGCTCAGAGAAACCCGAACTCTCACTCACAGAAGCATCATTTTGCATTGCTTCAGACTTGTAGCCTCGCAGAATTCCCACTGTCAAAGCCTTTGTGATACTATTTACCGAGTGAGAAAACTCATCGGACCGAGTGATCTTGGATATTTGCTTCAAACTATTGGGAATTCGATTGGAATCTGATTGTATGAACTCTTTAAAATCATTCGAAATAATCCCAATCGTCTCTGCTGAATCAGATACCATCTCTGCTACAGAAACTAATGCACCTAAAAGTTTCAACAATCTTTTCCTCTTTTTCACAACAGAAGGCGAGTTGTAAATCCTATAACTAGTGAATCCTAATGCTCCAAAAACAAGAATCCACTTTTTCTTTCTCTTCGTATAGTCTAAACCTTTCTTCAACAGTTCCAAATCCATAACAAATATGCAAAATCTAAAAAAGCAAATTGAGGGTTTGGACAATAAAGTCTGTATTCACAATTTAGCCGTTTTATTTATACACACACACACACACTCACAAGAATATATACGTACACGTGTGTGCATTCGGAGAGAAATTTATATACGCGAACCCGAGAGTGACGGACAATCAGTTGCAGAAAAATAAGAAGGGATTATGTGCACGTTCAACGGAGGAGTGATGATGATGATCAACTGGAAACTTGTGCATGTAAATTGATAAGAGCGACTGAATTAGTGGCACCTGTGGGATTGATGAAATTCAACATTCGGTTGGCGTATACGTATAGATGGGTATGGATGAACAGCTATCTGTTATTTGTGATAGGAGGATAGGGATAAAAGGCAATGGTCGGTTGGTCCAATTGTTTGGCCGTTGAATTGACGAGTCAAGGGTGCTATTTTTCTTGGAAGATTTGGACAATTAGTCCTTCACCTTTAGTGGCTCTAGAAATTTTTTTCCCAACCTTTGAAATTGGATTTGCAGTCCTCAATCTTTTATTTCTTTGAATATTTAGTTTATTTTACACAGTTCCATTAACTTCAGAGTGAGATGTGTTTGCTAATTCTATGCTTAAAACTTGACCTATATTTCTTTTTCTTTCTTTTTTTTTTAACAACTCTTTAAATGTTATTTCAAACACAAAACATTTCATTCTTATGAATTCAAAATCTAAAATAATATTACATTTTTTTTATGTACAAATTAATCTCATCAAAATTTGATTGACTACATGACCATTTGCAAAGAACTTTGTGCAAAAATGTTCCTAAAAGATGATTTTGATCATGACGGTGAGTTTATCTTTACTTATTGGGAATGAATTTTTTGTATTTGTTGCTTGATTTTTCTTAATAATTTAAGACATGTTCTCTTTGTTGTTTTCGGGCCATTTTCAATTTTTGAAAACACCATAAACACAAACACTTACCTATTTTCAGAGAAAATGGAAAACACTAAAAAAGTAGTTTTGACTGTTTTCAGTTAAAATCAAGTCAAAACTTCAATATTTTTATTTTTGAAAACATTATTCAAAATAACAAAAAGCGCATTTTCACCAATTTCAAAATTGATACTCAAAACACAAAATCCAAAATAATTCAAAACTCAAAACTGAAACACGAAGAGAACATCCACTTGCTTTTTTAATTTTTTGAGTTCTATATAGAAACTTTAACAAATGCATTGAATCTTATAATAAAACACAAGTTAATGGATTTTAGACGTGACCTAAACGTTTTGAGTTCAATTTCTTGAACTTACAAGTAAATAAAAGGTAAAAATGAATTATAAGATTCAAATGTTGACAAGTGATAAAAATACCGTTGAACATAACTACAAGAATTCATACAGAACATTATCAATTTAGCATCATCTCTATACCACCAAATCTGTTCAGCGTTTTCTGAACCAGATGAAAACAATTTAGCGTACTCTTTTATCATATTTAAACCAGTAACCTGGGTTTATTCGAAGTAACCTTTATGTACAAACATGACCAGAGTCTTCATGAAAGACACGGGAAATGACAAACAAACTATTCACTGCATGAAAATGAACCAGACGAACACATTATGAGGCATACATGATTTATCAAACCACATCAATGTCATCAACATCTAGCCAGTCATTTGATTCCTTCGTGTCATGGACATTTACATTTTCGTTGCTAGAGTGATTAATCTCACCATCCTTGGACGAGTCAGAGGAACTTTTCCTCAATTGGACCCAATCTTGTGAGTCTTTATCTGAACTGTCATTTGCTTTCCTGAAACTTGAGGGCATGTCTCCATCATCGTCCTCAAGATCACTAAAGGATACATCATCATTCTCAATTGGTATGGTTGTTCCACTGGCACCACCAATTTCAGAACATTCTTCCTTTAGCCAATCATCAACATCATCTTCATCTTTCTCTCCCGAATCATTAGCATTTTGATCTTTAGCTCGATCAGTATCCTCTTGTTTAATCAAAGATTTTTCAACAATTGGAATTTCATTACTTTCAATTGGGTGCTTCACTGTTTCAGAAGCAGCTGCTGTAGTGGAAGTTCCCAATTCAAGGGCAGCTGCCTTGCCAGGCTCATTGTCAGATAGAACAGTGGATGGCACAGAAAGGGACTCTTCATGATGAGAGACAGCGCTGTCTTTTGGATCCAAAGATCCTAGCTTTGTTGCAGTTAGGTTCTTCAACTCCTGCGCAAGCAAGGCCCTGGCTTTCACTATCTGTAGGAAACGTGCACAGAGTGCGTAATTAGAGCAACACACAAATAGTTCAGCACAGGCAGTCCAATTTGTAACAAATACTCAAGCCATCAAGGCACCCAACCAAATAAAAAACTAACCAATTACATATAACAGGCAAAAAGCCTCCAGAAGCCAGTCAGTTTTCCCAAGACAAGGAGTCTTCAAATATTGGAAGAGAGATGTACAAAACGGACAGATTATTTGTAATCACTGTTGTTATACATGAGTTAATCAATGATCAATCTGATCCCGGAGGGAAACTCTGTAGTTGAAAATAGTTATGGGTAAGAAACACTTGACCATCCAACTTGCAATGATATGCACAATGAGATTGTTTTGACTTCTACTTAAAAGCTAAGTCATGAAGCAAAATAGCCCTTTTTAGTACGACTGCCTACTGACCACCACCATCAAATGTAAACTGGATATTGCAACTCAGTTCTGATAAAAACTCAATAAGAAGTATCAACCGTTCTCAGAAATTACACGAGCCGAAAAAACAGATGCACATAAAAACTCTATGAAAAGAAAAGAAATGAAAAATGGAGGAAAAAGTAGACAGATAAAACAACAAAAACTAAGCCATATCCCCAATAAACTTGGGGTCGGCTAGAATAATCCTTTTTGGCCATTCCGTCTTTTTCATTGCTAGATATCTTAAGAGATCTAAAGCAACTAAATCCTCAATAACTACCATAGACCCCTCCCTCTCCTAAAAGTGAGCAGGAACCTCTTTAACCTCTTTAAGGTCAATGCAAAAACTGGCAGGATAAGAAAACAAAAAATAAAACAGAAAGGCAACATAAAATAGTGACAATAAACGCTCCATGGAGCCCTAATACTCATCAAGCTGACAACAGGAACCTTAGTAATCAAAGAAAATATAAACTTGGCTAGATAAATCTACATGTTGATCGAGGTTCAGCATGTGCTGGATACTATAGACAACGTAGAAGAATGTTGACAACATTCAGATATTGTGCCCTATGAAATTGTAGATTTTCCTTTTAAGTGAAGATTAATAAGTAGCAATTAAAAACACCACTTTTGCATGCAAGTTAAAATCACCAAATTCACGTATGTGTAAATTTTAGAAAAGCAAAATACTTGTGACCAAGGCAATTTTATCAAAATAATAGTCTTCCTCAACAACTGGACATGCTGCCCATTGGGAGAACAATTACAGAATGAAAGAACTGCATGTCCACATCAATTGACTCCAGCACAGGACATCATTTGATGAATAATTAAGAAGAAGAAGAACCTGGGGTGTTGATAAAAGTTCAGCATCTTTTTTATCCAATCTAGGATGTAGTAGTACAAAATAGATCTTCCAGAAGTAACTTTCACTAATATATCCAGGACAAAGCTCATTCCTCACAGCAGCTAATCTTGGGGCAAGATGCTCAACAGATAAGGCGTGTTCTTGTTGTGCACAAGACATGTCAAAATCTGGTGTCAAGAAGGAAGAAAAAGATTCAATGGAACTCTTTTTATAAGAATTACAGTAATTTGCTACCATATCACGTGGTTAAACAATTTTTTTCAAGCAAAAAGATAAATAATGCACTTTTTTTTTTAGTCAGGCAGAAGAATAATTATAAGAATTGAGAACAGGGTTATAGACATAAATGATGCTTTGACACGTTTCGCTTCTCATAACAAGGTCAGCTAAGATCTATACAAGCAGATTCTGACTTGAAGGTGCTGATTTATTAATAACAGACAGATAACACATGAAGCAAAAAGCTAGTGAACGAGAAAGACAGGGTGGCATGCAGCTTCTGCTTAAAAAGTACCACAAAATGCATAAGTGAAACGATTTGTAACAGTATATAGGCAAGTATTTCCATAACCAAGAATCTGTCTTAACTTAAGAAGAATACATTTCTCACTTCAATAAAATTCTACACCACCTTATGGTCTCTGTATAGCTCAAAATGTGAAAATATGTAAATATTTACACCCATTGTTTTTTTACTAACTGTGGAAACCTGCTTTTCGTCAAACAAATATTTAAAAGATAGAAATTTACCCCTTTCATTTCATATTCAGATAATATTATAATTACATTATCAGCACCCATAGTTTTTCTACTATCTACGGAAAACTGCTTTTCATCCAACAATTATTTAAAAGATGGAAATTTACCCCTTTCATTGCATATTCAGATAATATCATCATTACATTATCAGCAATTATAGCAAAAATAACCCCAATATAGATCCTAATCAGAGTTAATTGCAGTGATCCAAATATGCTAGCCCTTGTAAACATTCCCAATTCCTACATTAAGATCTATATTACCTACGTGAACAAACCAAAATTAATATTTAATAAGCGTATAAATCCAAAAACAAATAGAGAACGTCAGTAACTAAAAATTTAGAAAAAAAGAAAAAGAAAAAATCGATTCTTTGTACCTTCATCATCACTTTCAGGTAATGGGAAATCCAACCAAGTCTCAGTGTGCATCGCGATATCTCCTGCAAAAGCTATCACTTCCTCAGTCACGCCCACTGCTCCTTTCCTCGAATCGTCTCTAATCCCTTCTTCTTCGTCATCCGATTCCACTTGTAGGAAATTTGTAGCTATTTTGGTAATTTCAGAAACGTTGATGTTATTCGACAGCCTTGAAATCCCGCTCTTAAACTTCCCCCCGATCTCCGCAAAGTCGCTCCTGATCCCCACAATCCCATCCGGATCCTCTACCAACTTATTCTCCGAATCCCGGTCGGACTGGGACTGCTGCGGTGGAGGGGCTAGAAATGATGCAACGCCCCAGAAATGGCTGGTGAGGGTTTTACTAAGCTCCGACAGGTCTTCTTTGACACCACGTGATGGTGAAGTTGAAGACGCGGCATCATTGTCCGGATGTTTTGGGGTTCCGGATCCGGATTGGGGCTTGTTTACCCCGCTGTCGTCATCGTCGTCATCGAGTTTGAGAGTGTTGGCTATGGATCGGGCCAACCATGACATTGTAAATTATTACAGACAGGTCGGATATGCGTCCGGTTGACTTTGATTTTCCGGTCGCCGGCGATTAGTTGTAGAATTACAGACGTGAATTGATGAAGCTTTGTCGTGTAATCGTAGTCCTAACTACCTAAGCATTATGAGATGAGAAGCCTGCTAAACGACGCCGCACTTTGTTCTACTTGTTCCCCCACTCCTCACCGTAAGAACATAAGTAATTAATTGCCCCCGAGCATAGCTCAATTGGCGGAACAATCAGCACATAACTCGCTTCCAATGGTAGGGCGGGGTTCGAATCCTGGTGGGAACCTGCGGCCAGATTTATTTGGTATGGAGCAATCACTTTGGAGGATGATCCCTTGTGCGCAGAAGTACACAGTTGGTAGAGGTCCATGATTTAGTCTAACGAAATTGCGACATCTAGGTATAAAAAAAAAAGAACATAATTAATTATTTTGATCATAATCAAGTTATTTTTTAGCAATTTATTTGTTATAAGAGTAATGGTATTTGTCACACGATGATTAAATAGCATTTCATAAGAATTGTAGCATTTCAAAATTTTATTGTAATTTGTAAAAGTTACGCCAAACATTCTTACAATTTTCTAATATGGCTTACGATGATCTTAAATGTAATTAAAGGACGTAGTTGGTTTGACACTATGGAACAAGATTTTTACTTGTGATCTAGAATAAATTTTGTTGATGCTTGAATCTGATTAGAGTTTCATGTTAACGATAAGAGTCGAGTTCCATATCAATTTTTTTCAACGAGAGCTACATTTTATCATGATAAGTTATTTTTTAACAAAGCACTCATAAATTCAAATTAGCGAGCACTAGAAATTTGGTTGCTCCACCTCTACACAATCTACGTGCCCTGATCGTCTAGACCAGAACAAGCCGCTATCAAAATATAGACGAGCAATTAAAGCAACCATCCATTGCTTGTTAGTGAGCGCACGAGATTGTTTGCTACAATGGTCGAGCTTGATCGCCCATAGTCTAGAGCGGATCTATCTCTCTTGCAGATGATGACCCATGCAGTCATAGTTGAAATCTTCAAACTATAAAATTTAATTAATTTAGCCGATTCAAAAGGAACCTAAACATTCTGATCGGATAAAAACATCGTCAAAATGGGTCGCCCTTGCATAAGCACGATCCCAAGCAATTCCCTTGTCACAAAGCGAACCTCATACTACATTTAGCCACTTGTTCCCCCAAAATCCTCGAGACCTCATGAAATGCGTTCCTCCATCATTTGTCGTTCTTCCGCCACTTCTATATGGTAAATGCCTACATAGAAGCCTTATTACATTCATGATAAATCTCAATGATATTTTTTAGTCCCTTCATGCTTTAGTCTAAAAAATCGCTCCATAATTATTTTCATCTAAATACTAATTCTCACGTTAGAACATATAACATAACTATGCTCTTCTCGGTAGATGTGGGGATAGCTTGGAACCAAAGCAAGGAAAAAACCTTGGATACTACAAAAAAGGGCTTGATCATTGAATAAATTTGACCGTTGGATAGAGTTATTTAACCATATCCCTATCTGGTTGACTGGTTCCCATTTTCATCCAAAAAAAATGCATTCTTTCTACCAACACAGGGTCTCCCATATGCTGACATGCATTTTGAATTGATTAGTGCAATTTTTAACTTTCTTGAAATACCCCCATTTGCCTTCAACAGCCCACTGTAATTGGAGTGCTCACTGTGGAGGATAGTGAAGGGATTGGGAGTGCAAAATGGGCAACAAAGAGGGCCATACTTTCTTTATTAAGAACTGACAAAAAATATTTTTATTGCACCATTATATGAATGCTTTCTCATTTATATTATATCTAAAATAAAAATAACTGGACAGTGGAGCTGAAAAGAATAACTTACAACGAAAGAAACATAATCAGAAGTACATTAAAAGTTCCTCGCCATAACGAAAGAGTTCAGTTTAGAATGACAAGGAATTGCAACAAATGAAGATTGAAGAATAATCAAAGCAATCTAAAGAACTGCACTTGGACTCGAAAGAAAGGATGAACAAAACGCAAGAGTGGCTGGTGACAAGCTGAACCCAAGTGGACTAACTGCTCCAGGGTTGTCCGATGATTTCCGGGGTACAGCTGAAGGATTGACAAGTGGTTGCTTCCTTGGAAGAGAGAGGTTAAGTGGCGGCGGCGCCACCTCTTGCAACCGCTTAGGTTGGGACTCACACGAACCTGCTGTGAGCATTTGAACGAGCTCCTTAAAATTGACTGGATCTACGATGTAAATTTTTGGTTTCTGCATTGGCTTACGAACAGAATGGAGTGCGGAATGAAAAGATGAAAACTGTTCGGATTTCTTTTCTCGTTGTTGATATGAAGAAAACTGTGTTGAAGATGATAATGAAATGTCATCTCTATATGAATCCATGGTTTCTTTAACAAAACCTAAGAACACGCAATAATGGAAATGTCACCACATTTTGGTATTATTTATAGTTACGTTCGCGAAATTATATTTAAAACAAAAGGGACAGAGAATAGAGCCGCCGTGAGATAAAATGTGTTTTGACTTAAACGTTGGCGCCGGCGGTATTGGGTGGCTGATATTATTTGATATTATTTATCTACAGAATCTGGTGTACAAGTTTGACCAGTACTATTTATTGCTTAAAAAACTGCCTCCATTATTGAAACGAGGTATAATTACGGAAGTAGCCATGAATCATCGTAAATAAAGTTATTTTAAGCCCTGTTTGGTATACATTATTTTTTTTATTCTCATTCTTCTACTCATTTTCAACCACACATTCTTCAATAAAATAATATTTTTCATCACATGAATAACTTTTCCTTCATTTTTAACCACATATTCTCCATCAAACTAACCCTGTTTGGTATACATTATTTTTTTTATTCTCATTTTTCTACTCATTTTTAACCACACATTTTTCAATAAAATAATATTTTTCATCACATCAATAATTTTTCCTTCATTTTTAACCACACATTTTCCATCATTCTACTATTCAATAATACATTCTTTCACAAAAATGTATCACAAACACACTCTTAAGCTCATGTTTGGTCCGGATTAAACTCTGATTTTAATTTGAATCAAAACCAAACAATCAATATTAACCACATTTTGTATGGGTCCCACAACTTTTCAATCATACATTTCAAAAACTTCGATCACAATTTTTTCAAAATCTAATTTTAATCACAACCAAACACCCCTCTATAATGACAAGGAAGCCATCGTATGATGGTTTTCAGCACGTCTATAAACCCAGCACAACAGTTGTAGCTAAAATCAGTAAGAGAGAATTATTTTTCAATCATGCTTGTTTGGTGTGTTCAATCGTGCAATGTTGCCAAACATTGTTAACAACATATCACGTGACATATTTTCATTAGACAGATTAAAAAATAATTTATCTTTTTAATCTATACATTTTTTTGGGAACCTTACACCAATCCATACTTTAAATATTCAACATTCTAAAATCAGATTAGAAGTTTGATATTTTAAAAATCAGATATTTTATTTTCATTAAAATTTTTATAAAATAAATATTTCAACCATGCCTCTCTCCACCCACTGTCATCTACCCTCTCAAACCCTAATTGTATCTCTCTTTCTTCTTTCTCTCTTTATCCCATCTCTCCTCCCATTTTCTCTCTCTCCTTTCTCTCTCTTTCCTCTCCCTCCACGAATGGATTGTCGCTGCCATAGCAGCCGTCAACGAACACCATCGTGTTCAGTGTTCGTCTCTTATATTTCTCTTCGCTATGTTCGTCTCCCGTGTTTGTTTTCACCATGTCCAGTTTCTCTCCTATGGTGTTGGCGGTGCACATGCGGTTGATGGTTCACAGCAACAGTCTGGCTATGAAATGATGGGGGTGTGGTCGGATCGGTGGCAATCTGCAGTAGTGGCGATCTTGCCGTGAATGACAGGATCTGCAGTAGCGACGATATGGCCATGAATGATGGGGGTTTGGCCGGATATGGTAGAACCGTGATGGTAAGATGGGGTTGGGGTGGCTTGCTACTGTGATGCTGTGGATGTGGCGATTGTGAAATGATTGGGTGAGTTCTGTGATGTTGTGGGTACGATAGCGACGATTTGGCCGTCTATGATGGGGGTTGGCCGGATCGGTGGCATCGTGATGGTAAGATGGGGTTGGGGATGGCGAGGGCGTGCTACTGTGATGCTGTGGCGGTCGTGCAGTGGTTGGGTGAGTTATGTGATAATGTGGGTAATGTGTCTCGTGGCGGTGGTGCTGTGTGTGGTGATGGTGCTGTGGTGCGGTGGTTTTGATCTGTGACCCTCGCGTGGTGGTGGGTCGCAAGTGTTGTACAGTAGTGGTGTTTGACGGCAGTACTCTGTGCAGTGTCGTCGCGGTGGTGGTGGTGGTCATGGCGATAGTAGTAGGTGAAATGAGATGGGGGTGGGTGTCGGTGACCGCCAACATGGCAATTTTGTAATCAATTTTTAAAAAAATTTTGTACAAGTAGAATTATCCAATAAATAATATGTGATCTAAAATTGTGATTGTGACTCAATTTACTAAGTTGTAATCGAATTATGACTAATAAAAGTTTTGATTCGTGATCGAGAAATAATCGTGACCTTAAAATTCTTAATTTGTGATTAGGTCTAATAAGTCGTGACTTGTAATATTTATGATTTGTGACCGATAAAAAAATTGTAACCAATAAAAAATTTTGATTTGTGATCTCCAAATAATTTGTGATCTACAAAAATATTGATCTGTGACCGATAAACAAATTATGACCTATAAAATTTTTGTGCTATGACCATAAAATAATTTGTGATGTAAAAAATTATGAAAAAATTATGATTTGTAACCGAAAAATAATATGTGACTAACTAAATTGTGAATTTGTGACAATATTATATAAATCCGTGACGGTCATCGGAATAATATCCGGAATTGGAGCAGTCGTCGAAAAGGTTGCCGGAGAAGAGTGGTGGTCGGAACGGTCGCCGAAATAGTCCTATGAGCAGTAGGGGTGGTGGATTAATTATATTATATTAGAATTAAATATTTAATAAATTTATTTAATAATTTATTAATCCATAAATAAATTTTTTTCAAAAATCTGATTTTTGAAATTTGAAACTTGCTTTCTTATTTTTGAAATGGCACATACTTAACATCTTAAAAATGAAATTTTCCCTTTTTTTTTTCCATTTGCAGCATTGTCAACAATATTGTAAAATAATATGTACAAATAAATTTATCCAACTAACTTGGGGCATGTTTGGAAGTTTTGGGAGGTTATTTACAAAGATTATTCTAATTGTACATCAAATATTACATCAATAATGTACAAGTAGCATTATGTAATTGGTTAATTTCAACCAATACTTTTTTCCACCGACAACAATATCATAGAAAATATGTACAAAAAATTTATCCAATTAACTCAGGGCATGTTTCGAAGTTTTGGGAGGTTATTTAAAAATATTATTCTAATTATACATCAAATGTTATATCAAGAATGTACAAGTAACATTACGTAATTGGTCACATAATGCTATTTGTATATTATGTAACTCTTGATGTATATTTAGCAAAGCCATATTTAAAAGGAAAATTAGTACAAAACGTCATCACCTTTCATTGTTATTGTGAAAAACATCTATACTTTTCATTTGTTGACATTTTCACCCTTATTTCCATATTTCATTGTGCAAAAAGTCATTTTTATCCATTTTCTCAATTAAAAATTATGAAATGATGAAAATATCATTCCTTTTAAATAAAACAAAAGGGAAAAAATTAAATGGGAACATAGTCCAAACTTTTTGAAAAGGCGCAAATGAGTTTCAAATAAATTATTAATAAGATAATTAGCACATTATGTCCATACATTTCACTATTATTGCGAAAAACATCACTACCTTTCATTTTTTGACATTTTCTCCCTTAATTATAATTTGATAGTGCAAACCATCATTTCTATCCATTTTCATCCAACTTCTCAATAAAAAACAGTGGGATGACGAATATACCCTCATATTTAAATAAAAAAAATTAAAGAATTAATTGCAACCATTGTCCCAAATTTTTTTAAAACAAGTGCAAACGAGTCTCCAATAAATTATTTAAAAATTTAATTTTTTATAAAAAATGTAAACAAGTCCCAATTAAATTTATTTAAAAATTTAAAAATAAAAAAGTGCAAACGAATCCCAAATAAATTATTAAAGAATTAAAAATTAAAAAATATTTTTTTATTTAAATATGAGGGTATATTCATTATTTCACAATTTTTTATTGAGAATTTTGATAGAAATAATGGTTTGCGCTATCAAATTATAATTAAAAGAGAAAATGCCAAAAAAATAAAAGGTCGAGATGTTTTTCGCAATAATAGTAAAAGATAAGGATATTACGTGTTAATTACACTTTTAATAATTTATTTGAAACTCATTTGCGTTTTTCAAAAAAGTGAGGACTATGTTTGCAATTATCTTTTTCTTTTTTCTTTTGTTTGATTTAAAGGAAATGATATTTTCGCCATTTCACAATTTTTAATTGAGAAAATGGATGAAAATTACCTTTTGCCCAATGAATGATGAAAATGTCAAAAAATAAAAGGTAAAGATATTTTTTCACAATAATAATGAAAGGTGTGAACGTTTTGGACTAATTACCCTATTTAAAATATCAAAGTGATTGTAAAAAAATTCAATCCATGCTAAGGAGTTTATCATTCATTGACCGTGAAAGTTTTGTAAAAAAATAAAATTACATATAAGTCATATATAAAAAATTTAGATATTTTTAATAATATGTAGTAAATATATATGTCACTCCTTAAAATTCAATATGACTTTACATAATTTAATTGTTTGTTTGGTAGAGATATTTTAATCTCAACTAAAGACTTTACCTAATTTACTTATTGTTTGTTTGGTAGAGATATTTTAATCTCAGTTAAAGTCAACAATTAATTTTAATAACATACTTTATGGGTCAAATAATTTTTCAACCACACATTTTATTAACTTTTATCATAATTTACTAAAAAATAAATTTTAAATACCTTCAAACAAGAGCGTAATCATTTTTTTATTGTGTATGGACTAACCTTTGAACTATTTATTATCATTTTGAATAAGTTTTTGCGTGTCAATTTTTTTCTATTGAACTATAAGATGTATAAAAATAAATATAATTGTGAAACTAGTTTTCATGAGTAGATACATCTAAACTAAATACTTCTTAAGAGATAAAATCCAATTTTATAATTTGCTAATTTTTTAATTTCTTAAATGAATTTTTATTTACTCATAAGTGATATTTTAGTGAGAGATAATTATTAAATATAAGTTAATTTTCAACTTAAAAAGTGAAATATTCACTTATAAATAATTTTTAAATACAAGCAATTTATTTATTTTAAGTAAATTTTTAGTTATAAGTTAGTTATGTAATTATAAGTAATTTTTTACACATAAGTTTTTTACTCGTAAGTAATTTTTTAAAATTTTGTAAATATTTTGTGTCTTTTTAGTGGTATTTACATTATAAGCAATTTTTACATAAAAGTGATTTTTTTATAAGTAAATTTTTATTTGTAAGTAAATTTTTTAGTTATAAAGTAATTTTTTCACATATAAGTAAATTTTTCAGTTATTATATTTTTTACTTATACGCAATTCTTTTTTACATAAAATTGAATTATTGTCTTGTACGTAATTCTTTACTTAAAATTCTTGTTAAGAGATCCATCAGTTTTGAACAAACTACGTGTGTTAGAAATAATTGTTTTAGAGAAGATAAAAAGTAGAAGAAAATTTGAAAATGGCCAAAAATCACCGTTTACAACTCAAACTATCAAATCGTAAACACTGCCGCCCACAAACTATCAAATCGTGTGAAAAAAAATGGCAAGCAAGCCCTTGAAATTACTTAATTTACTTTGATGTACTCTTAATAATTTTCAGATAAGCTACTTAAATAAGATAGAGATTCAATTAAATATATATTCATTAGTGATGAGATCAGGGGTCCTCGTGTCATACACACAAAATATTGACCAACCTAATGCTTAGGGCTGGAACCAGGAGTGTGTTAGAATTTGAATCCCAATTGTCGTTGAACTGATGAACCAGAAGATCATGGCCAAAGGTTGAAGAAGATCATGTCGTTGAACCTAACACATTTTTGTTAGGTTAATAGTGTTAAAAATTTTATGCTACTCTAAATAACAAAACTTGAAAACCTAATTACTTAATTGTCAATAGCTACTATCAAATCATCAAGATAATTATGAAGTGCATAACATACCTTAATTCATTGGAAATTATTCTTTAATACTTGATCTTGATTCCGGATCTTAAATCTTGAATCTTCCCTCCTTTTGATTCTTTAATTCTGGTTCTTGGTTTTACTTCTTGATTCATAGTCTTGATTGTTGAATTCCTTCATCTTAATTTTTGATTGTAGATTGCATGTTCTTGATCGTGGATTTTGGATCTTGCTCTTCAATATGACTTCTCTTAATTATTCTTGTGTTGATGGGAGGCACAAAGAATGAGAAGTTACATATGAGGACTATAATCATATATATAGTTCTCATATGTATTTGGCTTATCGTTAAATACAGCCCTAATGGATCAAATATCTACACATATAATTCGATCTACACTTTATATAGATGTTCAAAACTCAATTACTTAATTATTTATTATATTACTTTAATTTTGGGCTTAATTTTAAGATAATCTTTATACACAATTACACATCGGCATGGCAAATTAAATATTTTTCCAACATATAGTTGTATTTATAAGTGACTTTTTTTATTAGAATCAAAGTTTGAATTTCATACCCATTCCCCAATTTTCAAAATTTAGGCTATGATCGTAGTTTTCCATCGAGAACATGGTTATACTAATTTATGAGTCAATTGACTTGGTCAATTGCTCATTTTTTTTATTCTTAATTTACATAAAATTCATTTGTATCATTTTTAAAGAATGATTCACAATCAAAATCTTATTTAGCACCTGTTTGGTGTAGTTAAAAAATAATTTTTTAGTATATTTTAATAAAAATTGATGAAATACGTAGTTAAAAAATAATTTTTTAGTATATTTTAATAAAAATTGATGAAATACGTAGTTAAAAAGTTATGAATTATATAATATATATGATTAAAATTAATTATTAACTTTCAGTTAGATTAAAATCAAAATTTTAATCCCACCAAATATGAGCTTAATTTATCGCTCATCATTTATATTATATGTATGAAACAAATTAAAAATTCTCAAAGTCAGAAATCAAAAAAATTACAAGTCAGAAGTCAAACAGGATTTATACATATTGCACTGTGTTTAACAACTATGAATAAATTTAAAAATATAGAAAAATCAGCACGTCCTTTTTATTGCCAGAGTTCTTGGCGTGGCACTTCTTAAAGTCATGATAACTGGTAAAGATGATGTGTGTGCAAGCAAAGCATACGCCAGATCGAGAGGAAACAAATTGAAAAAGGATTAGTTTGAACGAAGAAGTAGCCTCAGCTCTTTTCTAGTTGAAAAAAAAAAATGTGGAAAAAGAAATGGACTCGGTTTTCACTCTGATTGGGAAATTGAGATTTTAAATTTTAAATTTGAAAGTCTTTAATCAAAGACTTGGAGTTATATCCTTCATTTATAAATAGAGTAATAATATTTGCAGTCGCTCACTACCGTAATCGTCTTGCGTAACATATATATGAAATCATTAACCGTCACATATATGTCATACAGGACGACTACGATAATGAATGACTGCGAATAGCATTATTCTTAGAGTTTCACTACGTGAAAATAAATGCATTCTAACTCTTCTATGAGACTTCTTCTTATCTTGAATATCATATTTTATTTTAATATCAATATTCAAAACTTTTAAATTAATTAATCCTTGTCCGCTATATTAATTTTGACAAAGTCCACACGTATATCAGCAATTATCCCTGCAAGTCGACTAATGTGGTCCACACTCCACCCTACCACTACCTCCAAATGGAGAGATACGTATGATATATATCACTTTCGAATCTATATATCTAATCATTAAAGTCGATTAATCCAAATTCAAGCATTGATTTTAAATTAGATTCTCCCTTCCAACCAAGTTTCAGCTTGTTTCCAATCATTTTCCCATCTTTCCTACTTTACCTACTCCAACGGTTTGATCTATTAAAACCATCCTCTGTGCGCGTTCTTCACAAGCTACAAAATGAGCCGAAAAGAGAGCAAAACTGTCAGATTCATTAAAGCCCCCGTTAGGGTTTTGTCCAAAGCAAGAGAGTTTTACATCAAAAGCATGTTGCGTTGTGCCGGAGAATTTACTTATGCAAGTGCCATGGGTTGTCCAGCTCCACAATCCACGAGTTTGCCTAGAAGTTTCAGTACGAACTCATCAGTGTCAAGCTCCTATGAAGACTTCCGGGAGCTTATTAGGGCTTCTTCTACCCGGAGCCTTACCGGAAAAACTGAGGTAGAGATTCTCCAGTCAAAACTATCACCTGGTGTTAAGGTTGTGCCTCGTTCCCAGACAGTTACTATTGGAAGGATTGATGAAGACAAGCCTTGTGAATTCATGGAAGATGTCGCGATAAATCCGAATTTGTATCCAAGAAGTAGAAGCCATGCACCTTCAAGAAAAAGTAGGATGTTCTGAATAATCATACAAATGTCTTCATGAGTTTTCTGTGTGTGTGTGTGTGTTTTTTACTTTTTTTTAAACAAGGAAATAAGGAAACTTCATAATCAAATGAATCGAAAATCTTAAAAGATACATATGTATTTGAGAATATAACCTTAATGACATATTATGATTATAATATCTATTTGAGTATATCGAAATCTTGAATATGTTATTTAATGGAAATATTCAGTGATTGAAAAACTAGTTGATTATTACTCGATATGTAAGGAATTTTCTTGATTTCATGATTCTCAGCACATTGAACACACGCTATGATTTTGAAAATTTCTTACTTGATACTATGGAGAAATTGTAAAATTTTTATTTCTACACGTATTAAATTCGTAAAATAAAAGGTTTGCTTCATATATATTTTAGCTAAAACTTCAGTAAGTAATTTATAATCTACATGTATAAACTATGATATATTAAAAGTATAAAATGAGAATCATTTTTTGGATGATTGCAGTCAAATTTTTGTCTAATAATCTCTTAATCCATTTATTTGTGTTAAAACCCAGTAAATTTAATTAATTAACTGATTCAAATCAAATCAAAGATAAAAAAATCCTCATTTTTACACACATAAAACGGAATTTTTACAGAGTTTCAGAACAATATTTATCTACTATATATCTATAATATATTAAATATCACATCAAGTAAGGATTATTTTTGGATGATTATATCCCTACTAAAATTAATTATTTCACTAATACATTACTTTTTATTTTTCAATATATATTTAATTTACAAATTGTAATAGACGCTACAAAATTCATGTTCATACATATTCCATATATTTAATATCTTACTTTTTTTACATTCATTTAATTAATATTAATTAGAATTTTACATTCGCGTCCACATCTCTGTTATTAATTTTCAATTAATTTGCGTCAACATATGCTAATTAGCATCCAATTTCACTTTAACTAGAAATTAAATTATATTCATTTAATAAAAATGATTTAATATTCATTTTCACGAATATATTTCTTGGTGTTAATTCTAAATTAATTAGTGTTCACGTTAATTTATATATTCTATTTATCATTCATCTTCATTTATACATTTAGTTATATATATATCTAATACTCACATTCAAATATTCATATCATTATTTACGTACATGTATAACAATAAACATTTATTTTCAGAGACTTGTATTTCTCTGATATTTAGATCAAAAGAATAAACAGATGGTTAAATATTACTTTTACAATACTTATAAAGTATATGAGAATAACGTGCAACGTACGTTCAAAGAAAAGAGTAACTCAGGTTCACTTATAAATTAAGATTCAATTAAATTACTTTTGAGCATCTCTCACGTGTAGGTATGCCTGATGACTTTGAATTAATTATCAAAGAAACTTTCCACGTGTAGATTTAAGTATCTAAGGTAATCAAGGTCGTGCCTACCCACCAGACGATCTTGTAATAAGCAGATATTTGGATCCTCTATTAATTAGATATGATCAACTTGTACGCATTGAGAAATTCAGAATAATTTATTTTAAGGGTTTTTCGATAAATAAAAGTTATGATCCCATTAAATGTATGGTAAAAAAAAAAGTTGATAAAGTTTTTAATAATTTAATAAGTTGTCTTCGACTGTGCCCATAAACAGAAAGAATAACAATTTTAGGTCAAAGCAGTGGCACAAAATTTTCAGTATTCGGATATCAAAGGAAATCTCTACTATGAGTCTTGGAAAGGCAGTGAAAAGTTTCAGAGATGCTCACAAGTCTGGAAACTAGGGGAAAAATAAATAAAAAGAAATTGATAGAATGGAAAATCTCCTCCCAACAGTAAAAAACCAGTAGCTCCAAATCACACCACATGGTGTTCCAAATAAGTTTTTTGATCGCCTGCTTATTATCTCCACACAACCATACCCAAAGGAAGAAATTCATGAAATTCTCAGCATAAAATGCTATATGCCATAAACCTCATAAGATCGGGTGCATTTGGCTGGCCAAAAATGGCAGGTAAAGATTGTGGAAGATAAAATTAGTGCAAAAGCAGAATTGAGAACAAGGAGAAGGATAATGCTTGAAGAGCAGATTTCTTGTTTTAAAATTAGATTAAATTACAGAAGAATGAAAGGTAATATTTATAGACAATATTGGAGTAGTGAGCAAGTGAATAACAACAATGCTGTGAGAGAATCAATTCAGTTGCAACAATCATTGTGGTCCCAAGAATGAATTTAGCTCAGCCCCACGGATTCCCTGCCAGCATTCAGCTCACATTAGAGGGCATAGGTGCATACTTTAACATCCTCCCATAAGCTGGAGTCTATTCCTTCACTCTGAGCTTGTCCTTGAGAAATTGAAATCTGGTTTGGCCAAGCAGTTTGCTTAATAAATCAACAGTTTGATCTGATGAGGGAACATATCGAATTTCCAGTTTTCCTTCCAGGACTTTATCTCTGACGAAGTGTATATCAAGCTCAATGTGTTTAGTCCGTGCATGATAAACTGGATTTGAAGCAAGAGCACTGGCACTAAGGTTGTCACACCACAAGATGGGAGGCGAAACAGGATGCAGCTTAATTTACTTGAGTTGGGACTCAATCCAAGTGATCTCTGTTGTTGCTTGGGCCAAGGCTCTGTACTGTGATTCAGTGCTAGACCTGGCTACGACTTACTGCTTCTTTGATGACCAGGCCACCAGTGTATCGCCCAAGTAGACACAATAACCTGCTGTGGACCTCCAGGCATGAGACCCAATCAACAAAACCAGTATCTATCACTTCTTTGAATCCATAAGCCCTATTCAATTGAGCCTTTTAAGTATCTCAAAATCCTTTTAACTGTTCTCCAATGTGTGTCTGAAGGTGCATACAAAAATTGACTCATTTTATTCATTGCAAAGGCGATGTTTGGTCGTGTATGGGCTAGGTATTGCAGGCCGCCTATTGCACTTCTGAACAAGGATGGATTTGTCATCTTCTCCTTCACTTTTGGAGATATATTTGACTGTCGTCATTGGTATTGCACAGGAATTCAGATTTTCAAAGTTAAATCTTTTCAGTTGTTCCTCTGTGTATTTCTTTTGGGTAAGTTGCATACCTGACTCATATCTTTTCACTTCAATTCCCAGAAATTGATGTAATTCGCCCATATCTTTTAATGCAAACTGGGTGTTTAGGTTGTCAATAAACTGATGCAATAACCTGTGATCATTTCCGGTTATAACTATGTCATCAACATATACCAAGGCAAAAAATACTTGCTTTTGATTTCAAGAAAGGTCCTTTTTAGCTTTTCATACCAAGCTCTAGGTGCTTGATTAAGTCCATATAGTGCCTTCTCAAGTTTACTCACGAAGGTAGGATTTTTCTTGACAAATGAAACCTTCAGGCTGGCTCATGTACACTTCTTCATCTAGTTTTTCATTCAAGAATGCATTGTTAATATCTGCTTGCCTGATGCTCCATCCTTTTAAGACTGCAAGTGCTAGAATTATCCTCAGGGTGGAAGCTTTTATCACTGGACTGAAGGTTTCATAGTAATCAACACCCAAAGTTTGCAAGAACCCTTTGGCAACAAGTCTGACTTTGTACTTTATTACCTTCCCTTCGATGTTCCTTTTAATCTGAAAACCCATTTGTTCCCTATCACCTTTTGGTTGGCCAGTGGTAGAACTAGTCTCCAAGTTTTGTTCTTCATTAATGCTGAGTGCTCTTCTTCCATAGTTGCTTTCCAATTTTTGCGTGACATGGCTTCAAATGCATCATTTGGTTCAAGTTCTTGTTGTTCTAAGTTATATTGCTTGCACTGACTTGAGTAAACTTTGGGCTTAAAAACACTTGCTTTACTTCTAGTGACCATAGGGTGCTCAAAAGTCTATTTTTCTCGTCCTTCAGTAGTTTGATTCGGCCCTTCATTTATTTCAGCTTGCTCTATCTCATCATTTGTAGTCTCTTCTTGCCTTTCAATTTGATTTTGTTCATTATTTGCCACTGTTTTCATTTTCATTTTCCTTAGACACCTCATTTCCAGTTACTTCAATCTGTTCAGAGTTCTGAGATGATGTTGTTGAGGTAGCATCGGATGAGTTGCATCAGTTGAGCATATTTGATCACAGCTTGAGGAAGTGAGAAGTGGCAGGTATTGAACGATAGTTTCAGAGTTTTGTGGATTGTTTTTTTTTTTTTGTTCAGAAGACCAGAATGGAATGGGAATTCACTTTCATTAAACACTACATGTCTAGATATGTAGATCCTGCCTGTTGGACTGGGGCATTTATACCCTTTGTGTGAGTTGATGAAGCCAAGGAAGACACACTTAGTAGAGTGAAAGCTGAATTTGTATTGCTGATATGGCTTGAGGCAAGGAAAACATGCACATAAAAAAAAATTCAGAGACTTGTAATCAACTTGTTCTTTGTTTAAGGTTTCAAATGGTGATTTCATTTTGAGAATAGGCATGGCAGTTTGTTGATGAGGTGAGTAGCCATGTGAAAAGACTCCCACCAGTAATGCAAAGGCATTTTGGCTTGAGCAAGGAGAGTTAGCCCAGTTTCTCTGAACAAGGAGAAGGATGATGCTTGAAGAGCAGATTTCTTGTTTTAAAATTAGATTAAATTACAGAAGAATAAAAGGTAATATTTATATACAATATTGGAGTAGTGAGCAAGTAAATAACAACAATACTATGAGAGAATCAATTCAGTTGCAACAATCATTGTGGTCCCAAGAATGAATTTAGCTCGGCCCTACGAATTCCCTGCCAACGTTCAGCTCACATTAGAGGGCATAGGTGCATACTTTAACAGTGGAAATATAATTAATATACCTACCGAGTATACAAGTTGTTTTATATATGATGTGAAGATATCATTATCAACACAATACTTGGTGAAAGATGAAGATGAAGTCATTGCCTCCTTGAGGAATGTTTTGAGCACGAAAGTTGGTGGTGTAAAAAATTATTTGATTTGTGTAATAAATTATTAACTAT